AGCTAAAAAAAAATTAGATCACTTCAACATTATTTTTATTAATTTATTGTTTCTTAGAGTTTAAAAATTAGGATTATTTTTATCTTTTATAAAAATTAATGAGACAATTTATTTAATATGAGGTTGTCGTTCCTTGTTTTACAATTTGCTTATTAGAAAGTGTTTATTTTTATAAACTATTTATTTTAGGTTGCATGATTTTATTCAGATAAATTCAATTACGAACAGAAAAAATTACACATCAAAATGTCACACAAATGTTAGAAACATCAGGAGCAACTTTGGTTCTACTTAAAATTATCATAAAATGAATACTTTGGATTTGTTTATTTTGGTACGCTTTGTTTTATAATACATCTTTTTTTTTTTTTTTTAAAAAAAAAAGGTCCATAAAAGTAAGAATCCAAAACTAACTTTTTTAAAATTTTTTGCTTCAGCCTTCTATTACAGTTTTAATAAAAGTGATTATTTTGATAAAAAAAAAACAAAAAACAATTGTTAAAATAAATGATACCATTATTATAATTATAATAATAAAGTGAAATCATTTGAGCAAATTTTTCTTTTCATTATATCAATAAGATGCGTAATTATCAATTAAAATGAACAAAACAAAAAAACAGGCATTATACATAAATATAGACATTAAAAAGAAATTTTTTTTATGATTATTAATGAAAATGTGAAAAACAGGCTGTCATATTTAATGCTTATAAATACACCTGTGCCAATCCACTGATTACAAAGCTTAGTGTGCTTAAAGATCATTAATTAAATATTTATAGTATTTTTTCACATATGTTTAAATATTATATTCTGCCAAACATTTATGAAGTTCTTTTTCTTATCAGAGGTCAAAAATATCAAATAAATTATTTGTTAAAGAAATATCCGGTACCAAAAACTTTAATAAAACAACCTGAATTCTCAATAGCATAATGAGGGCCAAATGTGCGGAACCATTTCTTTTAAATATTAATAAAACTATATCTTCAATTCAAGCTTTTAAAAATGTATTAAAAATAAAGTTACTTAGTTATAACATATCTCAAATTCTATTTTATTTTTGAATGTTCTCATTTACTTTTTAACTTTTTTGTCCTTATCATAAAAAGCACCACTACATTTAAATCATTATTTGTACTTAAGTTTTAAATTTTTAATTTTGGTAGTTTTGTAATCAGAAAGAAAATGAAATTAAAAAAAAGTAAAAAAAACTTTGACACTAAAGTTTATTTAAAACGTAAATGGTAAAACGTGGCTAGATAAGACTTATATTCGTGGCGTGGCGTGATAGGACTTATATTCTGTCTGTTCCAGTCCCATCCTAACAGAAAACTATTGTAAATAAATTGTTATGAAGATGAAAAAAGCAAAAATAGCAAAAAAAAAAGAAAAAATTGTTGCTTTATAAAAAAATTTTATTCTTTAAATAAACAATCTATATTTTCAATCAATTTTGGAATAAATCAGATTATTTTCTTTTTCTATATAATTTATTTTTAAACATTTTGATTCACTACTAAATGGGCCTCCCTGTAATTTTGAAAAAGCAAAAATAAAACTTTTTCTTATGTAAAATATATTGTTCCTTTTTTTGCTAATCCACTTTGTGTCAGTTGTTTGTTGCTGTTTCCAACTGCAATTAAGTTTTTTAAACTTTTTAAAATTGGGACACACTTTCTCAAATATTTTTAAAAGACCTAAATCATCGTTTCTCAAATGGTTGAGAGATTTAGGTATATTAAAAGTTATTAAAATTGACTGAGTTTTTAAATCATATTGCATTGAATTCAACATTAACGCTCAATTTCAATGTTATTTTCAACTGTTTTATTGAGTTCAGAAACTTGATTAAAAGCGTAATACTCATCAGTTATTCCACCAATGCACAGTGGGCTAGAATCCCATATTTTTGAAAAAAATTCATAACTTTTTTTTTTATTCATTGGCCACAAAGTTTGATATAAAAACTAATTTGATAAATATAATTTGAAAGTTCTTTTTTGTGTGGTTGCCGTGGCAACTCCAGTTGCACATCACCACATAATTATGCCTAGTTTCAAAGGGGTTTTATTAGCCAAATATTTCTAAACTTGGTTTAAAAACTAATTTGATGATAAAAAAGACACATATATAAACTAATATCATGACCTCAATAAGTCGCTGGTAATTTTTTTGTTTTTGTGTGACTTCCTGCTATCTTTCTCAGAGATGCAATTTATGAATCAGATGTACACAGTAGTCAGCTTGGTTAGTTTTCACACGAGATATTTTTCTTGCAAAATGTTCACAATAGTTTTGATTGTCTTTATTGCACGTTTTTTGAGCTTTTTCAGAATACATACTAATGGGTAATGCTAAATTTTCAAAAATTTCAGATCCACTGATTAAAATTTTGTGCAGAGATTGTGGCATATAGTAACAAAGATAATGATGAACATAAATTCGAGCTGTTTTTGAACAAAAGGTCTCAAATTTATAAGTGTCAATTTCTACATCAAATGAAAATGTTGCCAATAGAACATGCAACTTTAGAATCAGTTCAACATCAATATTTAAAATTTCTGCAAACTTTTCTACATTTTAAAATGATCTTCATGCTGTATTTCCATCATTTGATGTTCCACTATTTCGGAATATCAAGTAGCAAGCCCATTTCATCCTAAAATTTATTCTGAATTTTTTGCTTCGAATCCTTTACTTTAAATTTATTTTCTGCTGTTCTTGCCTGCCACTTTTTCAAAGTCATTTTTATATACAATATGAGAATCGTTTTAAAGAAACGTATTCAAGCATGTAACAATCATAAAACAAATGAAGATCTGTCTGTCATACCCATTTTCAAAACCATTTTGTCAATATCATTGATTGTTTTGGGTTTGCACCACATATAGCACAGCATTGACTAAAATTTGTAACATTAAAGAGCAGTTTGAACTTTTCTATCGATCATAGTAATCTGTATTATATGATGTATTTTGATTTTTTTATTGTTTATAACAACTTTAGTACGTTGCAAATTTGAAGTCTCAAGTCTAATGAGATCTTTTATTGATTTAAAACAAAGAGGTCTACAGGACCTTGTTGACGATGATCGTAGATTTTGTCTCGTTGGATACCGTTTTCATTTGAAAAACCACACAAGTCTAATGGGACTAGGCAAGTAATAAAAATTGCTTGCTCATGGTTTAAAGTTCTTGTTACTATTTCTTGCGATATTTGATTATATACAGAGTGTCCTGCAGAACCATCAAAGTATATTTTATCTCAGAGAAAGTCTATACGGAATGCCTTCATGGTGACTTCACATTCTGTGCCTTTCATATTATGTTTACTGTAAGATCCACCAAAGCTTGCCGTTTTATTTCAACTAAAAAATCTGAGACACATAAATTTCCATAATAACATAAAATCTTTGCATCCCGAACATCTTTATATGAAGGATATTTATCAACTCCCTTTTTAACTGCTTGATTTCCAATAATTTGCTACAAAAGTTTTGCCAATCTAGCATCTAAAGAAGACAGAGAGCTTCAGTTTTAGAGATTTTAGTTTCTTTTTTTGAGATTTTTTTAATTGGATTTTCTTTACTCTGTTTATTTTCTGAAACAGATTGTAAAGCAAAAGCAGAATACATTTCATTCAAGTGATTAACTTTATTTCTTTTGGTCTTAGTAGAATAGTCATCAATGTTTGCCTTAATTATTCTTTCAATAGGCAATCGTGTTACATTTAAATCTTTAGGAACATACTTTGCAGCCATTTTTTGTTCTTTTCTTCAAACCAAGCCGTGTTGCTATATAACTTACTATATACACAATATATTAATAGAGGCACTGCTGACATACGGTCAAGCTGCATTAAGTTCTACGTCATTATACATATGTTAAAATATGTTTTAAAAAAGAAAAAAAAATCTTCGCTTCAACCAAGGCTGCAAGCAACCACTAATTAGTGTTGGAAGTTACTCGAAGACAAAAGAAGAAGATGGTAGAGCAAGATAACGATTGACAGACGACTTAAAAGATTGCAAATTATATGAATCACGAAAGCGAGATGAAGGAAGCGATTTCCAAAGAACTGATGTTCGAGGAAAAAAACTAGACAAATAAGAGTTCTTGGAGCACTTAGGAACAGTAATAGAAACATGATGAGACTTAATTGAAAGAAGAGTAACACGAGAGTGAACTTTAGTAGATGGTACAAGAGACGCTAGCTCTTTAGAGCAGTGCCGATTATAGTATTTGTAGAAAAGAGGAAGAGAAGCAGCATTACGGCGATGTGATAATAGTTGAAGGTTGGCTGCAAGAGCAGGTGCAAATATGTTTACAATGCGTTTTTGCAACTTGTCTAAAAGAAAAATGGCATCATTAGAAGATCCGCTCCAGATATGGCAACAGTGTTCCATACATGGTCGGATTTGAGATTTAGGGAGATAGAGAATAGAATCCAGAATTAGAAAGTGTCGAGCTTGATAAAGAGATGCAACTTTAGCAGATGCTAATTTTGCAACGAATTTAATATATGGTTTCCAAGAAAGATCAGCAGTAAGATTTAATCCTAGAAGATGAAGGGAAGATGACACATAAAGCACATTGCCGTTCGTAAATATAGGAAGATCTAAATTATTGCGATAACAATTGGCTGAAAAAAATTGAGTTTTATCTGAATTTAAGTTCACTAGCCACTGTGAGTCACTTTCTGTAGCAGAAAAGAGATCCTTTTTAAGTTCAAATATCCCCTGGAAGCAATCAAAGGGAGTTAACTTCTTATCGTGACAAGAATAAATGGTAGTATCATGAGTGAACAATGCCACCTTAGATGTGAAAATATCTGGAAGATCGTTAATGTAAATTAAAAAGAGTATAGGGCCAAGGATTGAACCTTAAGGAACCCCTGAGGTTACAGAATGCGAAGAAGGGTGCTGTCTGTTAGGGACAACTTTTATACTACGATTGGAAAGGAAGGACTCAATAATCATAAAGATGTTACCAGAAACACCGTAAGAAGAAAGCTTATGGAGAAGACCAGCATGCAAAAATTTATCAAACGCTTTAGAAATGTCAAGAGCGATGGCTTTAACCTCTCCACCTTTATCTAATGCACGATAAAACCTATTGGTTATTACTGTTAGCAAATTAGCCGTGGAACGAGAAGATTGAAACCTATATTGATGATCAGAAAGTAAGTTATTAGATTCAAGATGAGAGATTAAGTGTTTGTTAATTAAAGATTCAAAAACCTTGCTTATGATATGAAGAAGTCTAATGGGACGCTAGTTCGACGAATCGGATCGCTCTCCAAAATATTTTAAAATAGGGTTAACAGATG